CATACGGAAGGCAGCCCTGAGGGCCCCTCGACAGGGAGGCAACTCCCGACTCCCCAGGCCCCTGGGCTGCCCCCTATCCAGGCCAAGAGCCCCTGGCTGGTTCCTGCATGCTTCTGAAGGGAGTGCAGAGTAGGCTGATCCCAGCGGGGTGGGAGGAGTAGGGCAGCTCCCCCTGCCACCCACTCCCCACAAGTGCAGGCTGAGCAGGGCAGATGGGGACATAATGGGCGAGGGCAGCCCAGGTGCCCCAGGCTGGGGCTCGCACTGCCCCGGACGAGCCAGCACCACCAGGCAGGTGGCAGGTGAGGTACCGGGTCTGGACCCAGCCTAGTCAGACGGAGGCCCACAGCCCCCCGAAGCCGCTTGCAGGGCAGGGCGACATCAGACCCAAACAGGAAACCCCAGCAGAACAAATGAGAGCCGAACGGTGGTGTATTTTTGGACGCTCATGCTTTGTTTGCTCCCCCTCGCGTTCCTGTTTCTTTCCCACACTTCCAACGCCGCCGCACGACAGTCCCGGGCGCCCGCGGCCACGCCGCTTCAGAGAACAGCCGTAGGGAAGTGATCTCACAGTCAGAGTCGCGGAAGGCTGGCTGGCAACAGCGACACAACACAGCGAGGCTTGAAAATTACTCGAAAGGGGTAGAAAACCCTTGAAAGTGGCGGGGGCCCCCCTCCTGGCCAGAGGGGAGCGGCGCGCCGCCCGGAGCCCCGCCTGGCTGTCGGTCGGCGTCCCATTGAGAGGGTGTCCTCGGCGTCCAGCAGCAGAAACAAGCCCCTTCCCGCTCTGCCATCCAAGGATACATGAGGGATAAAATTACATTTGTACAAAAATAGATTTCTTTACCTTTCCTGATGCTTTAGACGTTTCCTCTCATCTTTACTCTCTGTATCTGTCAGACTCTAAAGTGTCAGCTAGGCGGCCCAGCTAAGGTGTGGCTAAGGACTGGGAACTGCGAAAGCTACTACTTGCTCCGAAGCATCTTAAAATAGATGCATCTCCTTGCTGGAGATATTCACTCGAACCCGGATTTCACCAAAGGAGGGGTCCTTATGTACTTGCTTACATGAAGCAAATTTATAGGAAAACAGGAAAAGTCTTGATTAAAAATAAACACAAAACATTGGTAACTGCTACATGTGCACTGTGTTGACAGCGTGCAGCTCTGTGCACGCAGTTTCTCTGTACAGCACATATATTTTACACCACACACCTGCCCGGGCAGGGCCAGGCCATGTGCCCGAATTCCATGATGGGGACAACATCAGCTGATTACCCACCGGCTGCATATCCGGCCAGGCTTGCAGGGGGGCCCCCTGGAAGAGGGGGCTCCAGCACGGTCTCCGGCACTAGCTGCCAGCCCGCCAGCCCAAACCCTTTGGGAACGCCGAGACTCGGAAAACGTGGGTGTGGGGCCGTCTTTCCCCGGAGACCGAGTGCTTCCAGGTGACAGGGGCCACCCAGCTGACACAGGGGCCATCTCGGTGAATGTCCCCGGGCAGGCCAGCTTCCAAGGAGATACCTAGCAGGAGAAGCAAGCTGGAGCCTGGCTTTACCAACACCTTCCAAACACAGGACATAGTCACCTCCGTTCCTCAGCCACGGGAGCCCCACCTGGGTGTCCCAGAAGGAAGGGGACCCCGCCGAGAAGTGCCAGAGGCGCTGGCAGGCGTGGGGCCCAGGAAGCATCCAGCCGGGCAGAGGCGAGGTGGGCACGGGGTGGCTAATGAGCTGATGTTAGTGCTATCTTTAGAAAATTAAAGATTGTCCCACCGAAATAATAATAATATAATAATAATTACAAAAAATCACCTTAATTGAACCAGATTGGTAATATGACTAACGGTCTGGTTAAATAAAAAATCCTACCTCTCTACCGAGTCAGGTGCCATTTCCCATGTATCACCTTTCCAGACAGCATCGTATGCATTAAGGACAGCAGACAGGCACAGGGGGAGGGCGGCCCGTGACTCTCAGGGTGCGGACAGGCATCTCTGGCTTAGAAGCTGGTGGCCTGGGGGCCTCAGCGCTTTGTGACAGCCAGCCAGGGCCCTACAGGCTACGTGCCCAAGGCGCTGACCCCCCAACACGGCCCCAACTCTGGGTTTTCTCCATTGGGGCCGCCCTCATTCGGACGGAGCAGGGCGGGGACGATGGTGTCTGGCTACAGAAGGCACCTGGGGTGTTGGGTGTGGGGCAGCCTGGTGTCCCCACAGCCAGGGGCCTCCATCAGTGAGTCCTGAGAGGGCCTTGTCTCTCTGCCTGTCACAGCCATGCCCCAAAGGCTCCCGAGACTTTTGGGGAAACCCTTGGAGAGGGGACCGCTGGGCACGCCCATCTCCGCCTCAGCCAGTGACGGGGGAGGGCAGCGCCTGAGTGGCAGGAAAGCCTGTCTTCAGCCACTGCTCAGTACGGGTGGTGTGGTCAGGTGTTTGCGGAGTCTTAGCTTCTGCCTGGTGCCTCAGGTTCAGCTCAGCTGGGGCTCTGGAGGCAAAGAATGGACACTTCCTTCCCCAGGGGGGCCTGGAGGCCTACCCCTCGCTGCCCAGCCCCACAGGTGCCATTACCAGCTGGGAAAACAGCCTCTGGGAGGGCATCTCCACCCATCCAGGGCTGCTGGTGGGGGGCACGAGGGAGGCCTGCTGCTGTGGAACATCCCTCAGGCTGAGAGCACAGGGCCCCAGCCCGCACCCCTGCACCATCTCTGCTCAGGGTCCACTGCAGACAAATGCCAGTCCCCTGGGTACGAGGCATGAAGACGGAAAGCACTTGGACACGGCGGCATGACAGTGCAGGAGAGCTGGGCCAGCCCCACCGAGCCCGCTCCCCTGGGCCCCAGGCACACGCCCCAGGAGGCCTGGGTTAGGTCAAAATGCTGCAGACACACACTGGGCTGGACGGGGTGCCTTCAAACAGAGATGTCCAGTGGAGTTTGTCACCAGACAAGATAACAGCTGGGCTGGCTGTCCCCAAGGATGCTGGCTCTCAACCATTCCCTATTCCCAGACTCTTCTCAACAGAACGGCCAGCCAGCAAAGGAGGCCTCTCAACCAAGAGCACCATGATGTGGTGCCATCTGCCCCCTCCCCACCTGGCTCAGGTGCCCACAAGTCCCTCTGGCCCTCGCCTGCTGCAGGCCCCAGCTTCCCTCTGAGTGGGCAGCTGCTTGAAGACCCGCTGGGAAGAGCCGCACTCCTCCCCTCGCACCCCTGTGAGTCCCGCCTCGGGGGGTGGCCTCTGCCCATGACAGGCCAGCAGAGTCCCTGCTGGCACACCTGAGTGTTTCCAGGAGGGCCAGAGACCAGGCTGGACCTCTAGGAACCAGGGGTGAGCCTTGGCCTTCCTCACAGCCTGAAGGGAAGCTCTGGGGTTGAGGAGAGGCAGGACACTATGGCCCGGCTGCCTGGCACTAGATGGGTCCCCGAGGCGGGGAAGGTGGAAACCAGGGTGATGCAACGAGAAAACCAAGGTGGGTGGGTGGCCCCAGTCCCTGCAACCTCGAGGTGAACCCCCAAGCCTGCAGAGAGGTCAGCTCCTGTTCTGGCCAGTGATGGGGAAAAAGCACAAGTCACCTTTGGGAAAGGGGCTGCTCACCCTCAGTCTGAGGGGAGGGAAGCCCCAGAGACCCCTCCTCTTCCCAGGGCAGCTAGCAGACACCAGACACCAGCCCCCGACCTGCCCCCTCCTCCGGATCCTGTGTGGGGCTGGGCCAGCCAGGTGGGTGAGGGGGCGGCGCTCCGAACAGAAGAGGCCACACGGGGAACAATGAACAGCGACCAAAACAAAGCCACCCTTTTGGGGGGCTGCAGCTCTGGGCCTGGGCCAGGAGGGAAAGCCCTGGCTCCCGAAGAGCCCGATAGGCCCGGCTGGGGCTCGCCGAGTCCTTGCCACCCCGGCTGCCGCCCCGGGAAAGCCACCACCAGGGTCCAAAGATGAGTGGCAGTGAAGTAGAAAGGGTGGCGATACGTCTTAGGCTTAGCAGTGACAGGCTGTACCCCAGGCCTGCCGGGCCAGGCAGAGAAGGGGCGGGGACGGGGCTCAGCCGAGAAGAGCAGCCGGCGGCCAGGCAGGGCAGCCGGGCCAGTGGGCACGAAGGTCTGGCCAGCAGGCGGGCCTAAGTCATTTGGTGGGGGGCTTCCAGCATCTCCATGAGGAAGGTGTCGATGGGCGTGTCCCCGATGAGCTTGAAGAAGAAAAGGTGCTCCAGGCACTTGAGGCCGATGGAGCGCAGGGCCGGCAGGCGCAGCAGCAGCTTGGCGAACCTGCAGGACAGCGGGCTGAGGGCAGGGCAGGCGGCCCCCTCCACCCTGGCGCCTGGCTGCCTGCCCACAGACGGAACCTCACCCCACCACCCAGAGCTGCAGCTGCACGAGACCTGCCTGAGCTGAGCCGCTTAGGCAGTGGGAATAGCAGGCCGAGGCCTGGAGGCAGGAGAGGACATGGGCATGAAGACCCCTCAAGAAGGTTTGTGGAGTGGAAATCTGGGATGAAGGGCCAGAAGTGAGACAGTGGCTGGGCAGGGCATGACGAATGGGGTTTTGTGGGGAAATTAAATATGTGGGCTTCCTCCAAGGGCACTAGGCAGCCACAGCAGGACTTTAAGCAGGGGAGAGAGCTGTGTGCATTGAGCATTAGCAATGCCTAAGCTGCAGCTGGCAGGCCAGCAAGGGAGCTGCTCCTGAGCCAGGGAGCAGGTCTGTGCCCAAGCAAGCCCCTTCCCATAAGGCACCCACCTCCCCAGGCCAGCCCCCTCCCCAGAAACTGGAGCTGGGCCAGAGGCAAGGGACCGTCCGCCTGGCCCTGCCCACCCCCTGGGGAGTTTCTGGGGAGGGTACTGGATGGAAGAGGGAAGGGGCTTTTGGAGGAGGAAGCCAGGCTCAGCTGCTTGGCACAGAGGACTGCGCTCCTAGGGATGGGCCAGATTCCTCCCACGCCCACCCCTGCCACGGTGCTGCCCTCCCTTGAGGGGCTGTATACCAGGGAAAAGCCCCAGGGTTGGCAACTACAGAACCCGTGTTTGAAAGGCAAAACACGCAGCACCAAGGCTGGAGCGGGGCCAGAGACAGCTGCTTTCTGCTGAGCTGGCGAGATGGGCTGCGGCAGGAAGCCAGGAAAAACAAGCGGGCGGCTGCCCCTCCGTCTTCCACGGTTCTACGGGAAGTTTCACTTTAAACCAAACCAGATGCAGGCTGAGCAGAGAGCAGGATACGGTTAACCATGTGTGTGCCAGGCGGCAGGCAGGGTGGACAGGGGCGATGGAGGCCTGGTGCCCAGGAGATGCCCTTGTGGAGGGAGGGGTAGCACCAGGAAAAACAGACCAGCCATGGCACGAAGCCACTAGCGTCTCCCCTCCTCCTGGATGCCTACTGTGTGCCTGGCACTGTGGATGTGGAAACGAGACAGTCCCCGCCTTGCCGGGACCCACAGCCAGGTGGTGAGAGACAAGCTCTGCACTCACACGTAGAGCGGCTACTGCCTGCCGGTGCCCACCTCTGCCTCTAGCGGCTCCCTTGAGTGGGCAGAGGAAAACACTGCCTTCATTTACGAGCTCTACAGAGACAAGCACCTACTGTGCGCAGGCACTGCGCCTGGCCTTTCAGTGTGCCCAAGGGCAGCCTGTGAGGGAGCGCGCACCGTGCAGCCCTCACCAGCACCTGGTCCCGGGAGGAGCAGGGGGCTCCCAGGCTGTCCTCAGGGAGGGGGCACTGCCTTGTGATTCACATGCAAACGCCTGAAGGTCTTGCCCAGGGCAGGGGGCCCAGAGCTGAGATCCCAGAGTCCCTGAGGCCCAGGAGGGCAGAGGCCACCCGCCAGGCTCACCTCCCCGGCTGCTCGGGGTACTTGTGTTTGCAGTACGCCTCCAGGGACGCGTAGACCTTCTCCCGTAGAGCCTCCACCTCCGCTGGGTTTGAGAGCCCCTTAGAGTCTGAAAGGGAGAAGGGGCCGCAGGTCAGAGCCCCGCACCTGGGAAGCTGCCCCAGGGACCTGGCACGCAGGCTGGCTCCCCGCAGGCCCGGCTCCGATGAGGCCAGCAGTGGGCTGCTGGGCATGCTCTGCCCGCAAGGGGCCACCCTGGGCTGGAGCCCTGGCCCTGCCGCTCACTGGCCAGGCAACTGAGGGCCAGTCCCCAGACCTCCTGACACCCAGCCTCCCCATCTGTGGTGCATGAAGGGCCTGTCCTCACCCTCTCCTGGTTACCACAGCAACCGGGTGATGCCAGCCTTTGCTGTACTCGAAAAACAGACCAGCCATGGCACGAAGCCACTAGCGTCTCCCCTCCTCCTGGATGCCTACTGTGTGCCTGGCACTGTGGATGTGGAAACGAGACAGTCCCCGCCTTGCCGGGACCCACAGCCAGGTGGTGAGAGACAAGCTCTGCACTCACACGTAGAGCGGCTACTGCCTGCCGGTGCCCACCTCTGCCTCTAGCGGCTCCCTTGAGTGGGCAGAGGAAAACACTGCCTTCATTTACGAGCTCTACAGAGACAAGCACCTACTGTGCGCAGGCACTGCGCCTGGCCTTTCAGTGTGCCCAAGGGCAGCCTGTGAGGGAGCGCGCACCGTGCAGCCCTCACCAGCACCTGGTCCCGGGAGGAGCAGGGGGCTCCCAGGCTGTCCTCAGGGAGGGGGCACTGCCTTGTGATTCACATGAAAACGCCTGAAGGTCTTGCCCAGGGCAGGGGGCCCAGAGCTGAGATCCCAGAGTCCCTGAGGCCCAGGAGGGCAGAGGCCACCCGCCAGGCTCACCTCCCCGGCTGCTCGGGGTACTTGTGTTTGCAGTACGCCTCCAGGGACGCGTAGACCTTCTCCCGTAGAGCCTCCACCTCCGCTGGGTTTGAGAGCCCCTTAGAGTCTGAAAGGGAGAAGGGGCCGCAGGTCAGAGCCCCGCACCTGGGAAGCTGCCCCAGGGACCTGGCACGCAGGCTGGCTCCCCGCAGGCCCGGCTCCGATGAGGCCAGCAGTGGGCTGCTGGGCATGCTCTGCCCGCAAGGGGCCACCCTGGGCTGGAGCCCTGGCCCTGCCGCTCACTGGCCAGGCAACTGAGGGCCAGTCCCCAGACCTCCTGACACCCAGCCTCCCCATCTGTGGTGCATGAAGGGCCTGTCCTCACCCTCTCCTGGTTACCACAGCAACCGGGTGATGCCAGCCTTTGCTGTACTCGTGCTTCAGTCCTCTGAGACAGACAGAGGGCTAAGGAGTGAGGAATGCTCCTGGGATCAGCTCGGTGAGCCGTGCTGGGCATAACTGGTGGGAGCCTTTGGGCCGGGCCAAGCGCTACCAGCGCCTCCCCCCTCCTTCCTCGCCTCCCAGGGTCTCCAAGACCAACAAGCTGGCATCAGGCAAGCCCCCACCCCAACAGCAGCCCCTACCCACCCCCCGGCATGCTTTGGGTTCACAAGGCCCTGGGTCTGGCCCATCCTGGTGGCGTTGGGAACAGAGGCTGGAGCCCACACTCGCCCCTGCTGCTGGTCTAAAGCCGCCGCAGCCTCACGGGGGGCCCTGGCACAGGGCTGTTGCCGCATTGCCTCGCAGCACCCAACCGAGGGGTCTCGTGCATGCCAGAGCCATGCTCTGGCAGTCTGGCATCCCAGCGGGGGTATGACTGCCCTGTGTGAACACTGCAAGTGGCCTGGGGTGCCGGGTGCCTTGGGAACGTGTCAGGCCCCTCCACAGCTTGGCTCCCCAGGCCCAGGGCTGCCCCAGCTCCAGCCCTCTCTCCTCCATCCCCAGATATCCCACAACCAAGCCTCAGCTGGTGAACCAGCGGCAGAAGCCAAGCCATGAATGACAAACAGGGATTCACTGGGCAGGGCCAGGCAGTATGGCTCAGCCTCCCGTGCTGGCAGAATGGTGGGCTCGAAGCACAAACCTGGGGAATGAAGCACCCCTGGAAATGGACTCTCCCCACGAGAACACTCCCATCTCCCCCCAAGCCCAGTCCCTTAGCCCCGGAGCTGCCCACTGCCTGGCCAGCTCCCACACCCCTCCCCAGAAGCCAGCGGCCCTGAGCCTGCCCTCCCAGTCCCCATCGCGCCCTGCAGACAGCCCAGGCTCCAGAGCTTCGGCATTGAAGCTCACAAGAAGGCTGTCTCTTCTGAGCCCAGGATTCCAGAGCAAATGGTGGTGCCCAGAAGGCTTGGCCAGAGGCCTCATCGAACCACAAAGGGCAGGTGCAACATCCTGAGTCCCACTGTGTGCAGAACCCTCACAGGGGGCATCAGAAGAAGGCAGCAGGCTATCCCCTGATCATAGAGAGGTGACATCATGGCTCAGACAACAGCAATGGGGCGGCCCTGGAGGACTGGCATCTGAGGCTGGGAGCCGTACCAGGGTTGAAGAGGACGATGGCGCGCAGGCAGCCCAGCTCCGTCTTGTCCATCTGCATGTCCCGCATTTTGGACACAAGCTCCGTCAGCACCCTGTGGGGGAAGCAGGCAAATGCCAAGGTCCGAGTCAGGCTGCCCCTCACCAGGCACCTCCCTAAATGCCAACAGACTCAGGAAGCCTGGCATGGGCCTGGGGGTGCCTGGGAGAGGCGTAGCTGCTGAGGTCTCCTCACCCAGCCTGTCGGCTCCATCTGGACAATGCGTTCCCCCTCCCTCCAGGGGTCTGCATGTGGCCTTTTATTCTGGGAACCCAGAGACCAAGAAGGGACCTCCTGACAGCTGAGCCAGGGTGACGGGCTTCCGTGTCAAGGACAGAGGTAAGAACCACATTTGTAGCCACTGTGGCCCACAGGAGAGCCACGTCCCCAGAGCATGGCCTTCCTCCTAGCTGTCTCCTACTGCCAGAGCATGCACACTTGGCCTCCTGTGACCAGCTGTATTCCTCCAAGGGGAAAGCAGCCCGCACAGCCTGTCAGAGAGCTGGGGACCCTTCCCGGAACCCTTCAGAGCTCTGACCCAACTCAGCTGCCACAGCCCCACCCCCCATGGGCAACTGTGCCCTGGATCCCTGGCCTCTCTGCACACCCATCTCAGCCTGGGCTCCCCAACCTCACCAACCTGCCCTGACCCCCAAAACTTGATGGTCGTGTCCAGAAAGTGGCAAGTGGTTGATGGGGCCAGGCTGCAGGGGAGCGAAGGGAGGTGGAGCCTGCAGGGTCACCCTGAGGAGACAGGCCTCTCCGGTAGGCAGAGGGGACCCGGGGTCCACCAGCAGGAGAGGGGCAGGCTCACATCGGATCCCAGGGGCCTGGAGGGCGGCAGGCGCAGAGTGGGCACACGGGGACCCCACCTCTGGGGCACCACCCTTCCCACCCAAGCAGAGGAAAGAAAAAGCTCTTCCTCCCCACGCCTGCTGCGGGACCCCGGGCAGCAGAGGCCAGCGCCCCCGCCACGGTCCCCTTCCCAGCAGCGGGGACAAGGACTGTCAGCTGCGTGCCGGGCTGGGGCCACCCTTCTAGACCAAAGCAGATCCCAGAGGGGCGGACTCTCTCCGGAAGTCTCCTGTGGGCGATCAGCGCCGCCCCGTGAGCCCTCTTTGGTGGCAGCCCTGTTCGTCAGCCCAGGGCTCAGGGCCAGGTGGGCACACGGAACCCCATCTACAGCATTAGCTGCTCCCCTCTTTCAAAAATACTCAGAAGGAAACAACCCGAAGTGCAGCTTTCGGTCGTCAGGTGTCCCTAGACGCTGGTCCTACATGGGTGCTGCCCTGTGTCCATTCCCGCCCGCCGCCCTCCTACGCAGCACAGCGGCAGGAAAAGAACGCGGCCGGGCCCCACCTGTCGAAGATGGCGCCCACCCCTGCGCTGTGGGCGCTGTTCCGGTGGACGTGCAGCCCCGTGGCCAGGAGGATCCCGTCCTTGACGGCGATGGACCGGTGGGAGAAGGAGGCAATGAGCAGCTCGTTCCAGCCTGGGGAAGGGGCGCACGGTCAGGCCGCCGTATCCAGACCCCTCAGCCCGCCCTTCCCCGGCCCCCAGTCAGCCCCCCAGACGCAGCCGTGTGTGTCACAGACCCACCCCTTGGGCAAGCCACGCCGGGGTTCCCAAACTCAGCTCTGTGGAACCCTAACCCCGCGGGTGTTCCACAGAAAATGGGTTCCTGGGAACCTATGTTTAGGAAATGCCTCTTTCTTCCACAGCGCACACTGGCACGCATGATGAAGGCCCTGAGAAGTCCTGCACAGAGCATCTCCTCTGGCTCTGTGTAAAACTCCTGTGCCCAGGGAAGGCCCTTTCTGCAAGCACAGGATGCTCGTGCCACAGAGCACGTGGAGAGCCCCCACGATCCTCTGGCACAGTCACAGAGCGGCTGCTGCCAGTCTGGTCCAACAGCACCCACAAACAGTGACTAATCAAACTAAAACAAGCTGTGTTAGAGCTGCAGGCCGGCTCGACGCCCTCTGCGCATGAGGTCCTAGCACAGACAAACCAAGGGCGGCATCGGAGGGTTGAGGAAAAGTACAGAAGGAAAACTTGAAATGGGAACTTGAATCTAAAACAATTTCCAAATGTTTCAATGACTCCTGTAATTGGAGAACGTGAAGCCATCTTCCCCAGGGACAGTGACACCGATTTGCCTGGCCACCTCTCTAGTGTTCAGAAGGACCCGGGCTCTGCAGCTGACATCATCACGTGGCTTTATCCTTTAATCCTGACCACAGTCCTGCAAAGCAATATTCTCCCCCATTTTACAGAAGGGGAAACAGAGGCCTGGACGGGGGAGGGCTGCATCAGGACAGGAACCCAGGGCCTCTGCCCCGATCCTTCCTACCCTCCAGGCTGTCACCTTCCCAATGGCTCGGGGTGCTGGGTTTTATGCACCAGTTAGAGTGAAGGCTCCTCCAGCAGCACCCCTCCCCGCTGGACCCTGCGCGGAGGGATGTCCTGCCGGGCGTCTGCCCCCTCACCCGTACCTGTCCCCCCTCAGAAACCTCTCCAGACTCATTTCACCTCTCCCTCCTGTGCCCCAACCCTGCCCCGGGGCCCAGAGTCCAGCAGGCACTGGGCTGGGCTGCTTCTGACACCCCAAGGCACCCAGCACAGGCCTGGCGCTCGGCTGGGGACAGGAGGCGGCTGCTGAGTGGGGTTGCAGCCTGAGCTGGTATACACGGCGGGTCCGGGAGCCAGGGCAGGGGTGCCCTCTGAGGACCCAGCTCGTCCGGCTCACCACCCTCACTGCACCCTGGCAGACACTTGCATTGAGCATCCGGGTTTCACAGCAGAAACCAGCTTCCACTCAACGTGTTCACACCTGCTTTCCAGATGACCCCAAACCCCAGGACTGCGGGCCTGACCCCGAGCCCCAGAGCCGTCCCATTACACCCCATCCAGTCACAGTGTGCGCGCTGAGCAAGGGGCAAACCCTTTTATGCAAAAGCTACATGCACTGCGGTCTCTGCCCAGAAAAGGAGCCGAGGCCTGGAGGCAGGGGGTAAGGGTATGACACAGGCACAGACCCCTACGGGCAGCCCCCCCTGGACACTCACCCCTCCCTCCCCAGAGGCCCCGGATAGCTCTTCACGTCCCTGAAGACCACTTGGTGAGACCCCAAGTCCAATGCCTCCTTATGCGGGAGGGAAGGGATACTGAGGCCAGAGGGGGCAGGGCTAGGACAGGAGCCCCACCCTGCAGGGCCCCCCCACACCACAGCAGCAAGCAGGGTCCTGGGGTCTGTGCTATCCCTGAGGCTCCAGCCCCTGCCCCTCTCCTCCTGAAACCTGCCCACCCCTGCCAAGCCCAGCCACTCACCTGCCCTCAGCAGGATAACTTGGTCGTCCAGGGGCAGCTCAGAGAAGTGTGGGATCCGCTTGGCCCACTCCACAAGGGTGAAGAGCTGCTTGTCCGCTGCTTGGCAAATGTTGGTGACAGGGTCGTTGGGCTAGTGGAGGGAGGGGCCACAGTGAGCAGCACGCGGGGAACCCAGCCCCAGACCAGGCCCTGCCAGGGCTTCAGCACATGGGCTGCAGAACGGCCCCACAGACATCCAGGCCCTGACCCCAGAGCCCGTGACTAGGTGGCCTTACACGGCAAAGGGGACTTGGCAGAAGGGATGGAGGAACAGATTTGTGATGGAGATGATTCTAGATGATGGGGGGCAATGTCCTCACAAGGGGCCTCTCCAGAGGGAGGCTGGAGGTCAGAGTCAGAGAGGGCGTGGGGACAGAGCTGCGGTCACAGGAGAGAGGACGCTGGCCCTGAAGGCGGAGGGAGGGGCCCCAGCCTGGGAGCCTGGCAGCCTCTACAACCGGGAGAGGCCAGGAGGCGGCTTCCAGAGGCGGGTGCCCCCCAGAAGGAACCAGGCCTGCTGACACCTTGACTCCAGCCCAGGGAGACGACTTTGGACTTGTGCCCTCCGGAGCCGCAAGGCAGGAACTGCTGTCTGTGGTCATTTGCTACAACAGCCACAGGAAGCTCATCCAACTCGAATGACCCACTGAGTCCCCACTGCAGCCCGGGAGGCAGGTCAGAGGGACAGGGGGACACAGGGGAGGGTGCTGGTGCTGGGGTGGGACTCCCACAGTCTCAGCAGCCCCCCACTCTGCTTCTTCCTCCCACATGTAGAGATGACACACAGACAGGGAGCATCAGAGGCCCTTCTAGAAAGTTCTAGCTGGGTGGGGGGGACTCTCTACTCATTCTCCCAGGTGAGAAAAACCAGGCGGGCCTCAGTGGCCTGGGCAGGACGGGGCCCCCCTTGCCAGCTCCTGGCTGGTGGGGCTCGGGTCCTAAACCCTCTGGGTCCTGAGTGGTGGGGGCCCAGACAGCGCACCAGAGGCAGAAACCACCGAGGCAGACACCTCGCGAGAGGAACGGCTCCCTTGAAGAGCTTCGCTGGCAGAAACCACCTGCCCTTGAGTGTGATGTGCAGGCTAAACACGCCGCCTGCGCGAAGGGCCCGCGAAGGGCTCACACGGGAGGCCCAGGGACAAGCTGGCACCTAGACTGCCATCGAGGGGGCTGGGTGTGCAGAGGGGCACCTGGAGCCGCAGGGGGTGGTCTCAGCGGGAAGGGGTGGAAAGGCCACGCCTGCCCTGCCCCCGGACTCCCTGGCTGTGAGGGGCTGGCCCGAGGCCCCCAGCACTCCCCCCATCACTCTGGAGCAAAGCGTGGGGGTGTCGACTGGAGGCGGAGTACTCACGAGGGGCACGTCCTGTGCCCAGGGCCCCCAGTACCGCAGGCGCGAGGCTGGCACCTCCCACTTTGGCCAACTAAGGGCAGAGGCTGGCCTGCTCGGGTCCCAGCTGTCGCCACCATGGCCGCCCTCTGCTCCCCAGGGCCCACTCTCCCTGCCTCCCCGCTAGGCAGGGCAGCCCACGGGGCAGTGGAAGCCCGGGTCTGGAGGGCATCCTGGGGTGCCGAGTGGAGAGGAGGCTGCAAGTGAGGGGGCAGCCCAGTGAAAGCCTAGAAGTTCTGGCACAGTCGGAGCCCCAGAACCCGCCCTCTCCCTGGCCGGCAGCTTTCTTGGAGCCCGTGAGGGGCCCAGGGCAGGCCTGCGTGGCAGGGCATCACCAGGTGGGCCCAGAGCAGGCCTGGGGGGAGGGCTGGCACCGAGCCCTGGAGGCACTGAGCAGGCAGGCAGCCCTCCTGCCCCACCTGCCGCCTGAGGGAAGGGCGCCCAGTGAGCAGACCTGGAGGGGAACCCAGGCCAACGGACGGAGGCTGCAGCCTGAGGCCAGGTGCAAGAGGGCAGCCACGCGCTGTCCCAGGCTCACAGTTGCTCCCCGAAAGGACGGGCCTCTGCGGCCAGCTCGCCCATCTGTGCTGCTAAACCACCCTGCCTGCTCTGGAGCCGTGGAGAGAGCAGATGGCAGGTTTTCCCCAAATAATGTCCTTACTTGACAAAATTAAGCGTTAGCAACTTTTGTTCACCTTCCAGTTTTTCTCTGGGGAGTTTCTGCTCAGTCATGGGGCCCTATCAGCTGGCCCCCAACCCTCGCTGGGCCTGGAAAGGCAGACACAGGCGGCAGGACGACAGAGCAGACAGCACTTCCCAAGGGCAAAGCTGGGGTCACTCCCCAACCAGAGGTGGCATCTCCAGACAGGAAGACACTCTCAGGGCCCCCTAGGCAGGGGAGGTCTAGGGGGGCTGTGGTCCTGGACACTGGAGGGCAGGGATGCTGGCGGCCAGTCACCTGGCCATGGGGGCCTCAGACCTCAGGAGCCTCGAGAGCAAAGGGGGTCCATGCACGCTGAGACAATGCAGGTCTCACGGCGCCGCGTGCATCACTGCCCCTGGCCAGAGCTGGGCAGTGAGCAACAGCCCAGAAGCCTCCCCCAGCCCCGGGGTGGCAGGGAGGGTCACCCCACCACACACCCCACCACGTGAAGGTCATGGGCTGGGGGCCAAGAAGGGGAGATCAGAGCCTATGGACCTGAGTGAAGGGGCCAGGCCCTCCCTCCAGGGCATGAGGGGGCCGCAGTGGGAAAGGTGCCCCCTGAGGAAGTGATACTTCAGCCAAAGTGGAAGCCTGAGGGGGCAATAGAGAGCAGCATGTGCAAAGGCCCTGGTATCCTGGTATTGGGGCGGGCATGAGCCGGGGGGGTGGGGCACGAGCCGGTGGGCACAAGCATGTGAGCCAAGGCAGAATCAGGGCGACCTTGGGGCCGGCCTGGACAAGGTCTCTGGGGCAGACACAGGACCCCCAAAACCTGGCTACCCAGTGGGGCCCAGCTGCAGCCTCACCATCCTGGCCCAGGAGAGATGGCCTCCCCGCAGGAGTGCCAGCCAGGGGCCAACGGGCCCCAGAGCCACGCGGGATTTTGCCACCGTGGGGGGAGCAGCGTGGCCAGGCCAAGGCGCAGGCAGCACTCACCGAGTTGGGATTCAGCCCCATGTTTGCCTCCACATATGTCTCAGTCTTGGGCTCGACGGCCAGCTCAGCTTCCAGAATCTTCTCCACTGGCATGTCCTCGTTGGCGCTACTTGTGGACTCCACCTCGTTCTCGTTGCGGTCCTTGCCCCGCTGGCGCTCTTCTTGCACGGCTGCAACCCAGCGGGGCGTCCAGTCAGCCCCCTGTGCCCACAGCAGCCCTGTCCCAGGGGCCAAGGAGTGCCAGTTCGAAGCCAGCGTACTCACAATACCAGCATCCCCCCCGGGGCCAGCGAGGGGGACGCTGCTCAGAGCCCACGGGGCTGTGGCACTGCCTCTGCTCCAAGCCTGGCCGCTCGGGGGCCGTACCCTCAGAACTGGGAATGCATGCCTCTGACTCACTCACTCATTCAACTCACATTCCCACCAAGACCAAGGGGCAGGATGCACGAAGGGCTCTCGAAGTCCCTCCAGCTACAGGGGAGAGGGGCCTGTGGGAGACCACACGCCGGGGCCAAACCAGGTGGCAGGGGCGGGGACTGAGCAGACAGGGTGGCCAGGGGCGGCCCTGCTGCTGGGGGCCCAGGGGGAGAGGCCAGGGAAGGAGGCAGAAGAGGACAGGCTCAGTCCAATGCTGCCCCCAGTGACGCCCACGTGCAAAGAGGGCTGGGGCAGCTGGGGCCCTGCAGCTGGGTGCTGCACACATGCAGACCTTGCCACTCAGGCTGCCCTCTCTAAAAAGGGGGCCACCCAGCAGGCCTGAGGCCCCAGGGAGCCAGAACAAGGCTGTGGAACCCACCCAGGGCTCCATAAGCACCTGCCACAGCTCCTGGGGCTCCAACAGCCTCCTGGGCTGAGCCCTACACTTACTCCATCCTCTCGGGGGCAGCACCAATGCTGGGTGGGGGCAAAGGAGATGGCAGTGGAGAGAAGCCACGGTCAAAGGCCCAGCCCAGGGCTGGGGGCTGTCCACACAGCACTGTCTCAGCCTGAGTGGGCCTGGTGTACCAGGCTCCTTTCTCCCAGGGACGCCCCCCCACACTGTCACTGGCCTCTCCCAAACCTCCCTCCTCTGGTGCTGCTGTGCCAGCATCTCAGCGCCCACCCCAGGCGAGGCCCTCAGCTTCTCGGGGTCCCAGGAGACCCCCCTGCACAGTGGCAGCTTAGTGAGCACACATGCAGAGCATTGCAGTGACACCTCTGCCCACCCACCCATCTATGATGCGAAGGGCCTGGAAACAGCCCCCCATTGCAAAGCCCAGGGCTGAGCAGAGCCCTGGGGGGACCTGGGATGGGCAGAGCCAGTCCCCATCTTGCGGCTGCACCCCAATCCATAAAGCTCCTTGTGAAAGATGAAGACCGTCCTGAGCTGGGAGAGCCCCATGGGCCGGGTCTGGCGCCCACAGCCGTCCCAGGAGGAGGGCAGCCACCCCTGATGGGAACCCTGGAGCAGGCAGTATGGGTCCCTGGGAGACAGTCACCAGAGCCCTGACTCTTGCCAGGACCCCACCCTCCACCTGGGCATGCATAAAGGTGTGTGCCCCCACATGGCCGTGCCCCCATCCTGCTGCCAAGGCCATACCCCAAGCCACAGCCCCCAGAGGCCCTGGGAATTGGCCAGCTCCTGGGGGACCCAAAGGTAGAACATACGATAAAATACGGTGACTCTTGCAAGAAGTCCCAAGCTGTACCCCCAGGTCACACTGCCCAGGAGCCCACTAGGGGTAGCTCCCACAGCCCCACCCACCTGGCCTCCTCCAGCCCTGCAGGGGGGCTCTGCACAGGAGCCTGAGGCCCTCAGGAGGGCACCCACCAGGATGGCCAGACGCCGGCACCTCCTTCCCTCCACTCAGGCAGTACCCCCCCTGGATTCCCCTCCCGGTTCCCGACACGCCCCAGGTTCACATCTGCAAGGCCAGCTCTGAGCTCCCTCCCTGTGGGTCCTCAGCCTGGCAGCGCTGCCCCCAGCGGGACCTTGCTCTCAGTGCCCCTGCTCCTTCCCAGACCCATGCCCATCTGGAGAGCGGGAGCATGTCACAGGAATCCCCAGTGCTAGTGCCCTCTGGGCCTCAGACAGGCTGCCCCCCATGGGCACCTCTTGGAGCAGACACCACTGCCCATTCTCGCAGCCTCCATGCACCTCCTGACCTGCCTCCTGCCCTGGCTCCAAGGGCTGAGCTCCAGGCCCCCTCACCCAGGCCCTCCTGCCCTTGGCCCCAGATGGGTTTGGCAAATGCGAGGGGCCAGCAGTGGGGGACGTGGGGTGTCCCCATTCAGGCGCTGCCCTGCCCAGCCAGTTCTCAGTGGCCACGGCTCCTGCTGAGCAGCCCTCTATCCGGGCTCTTCAGGCTGGGGGTTCGAGGGCTCCTGCCATGCTGTCTCTGGGACCCCCGGGCTTGCCTGGCTCTGCAGCAGTACTGCACCAACACCCCCACCACCGTGTGCCAGCTGCTTCTGGCTGGGGCACCCCCGATGACTGTTCAGAGATGCTGGCGGCAATCTGTGCCACTCTCTGGGGCACAGGGTTCCCTGAGGGCAGGCCCTGAATCCTTTCTGCATTGACAAGGGGCTGGAACCAACCCCGAGCCAGGGGCCGTGTTCTACAAGACCCAAAGAACTGACTCAAGCGAGGAACTTTCCATCCATGGGGCAAGACTCAAGGACAGGGGCCAGCCGACACCTTCAGGGCACAGCAGCTGTCCAAGGAGCCACAGGGGGCCTCCAGCCGAGTTACTGCAAGCCCAGCTCTCTGGACTGTCCAACAGCAGGTGTGGCTCGGGGGTGCTCAGCTGGCAGCAGGTGGCAGGAGCAGACAGGGCTGAGGAGGGCTGCCCAGCTCTGGCCCCCCACAGCCAGGCTTCCCAAGCCCTCCACGTGTGGCATGCTGGGCTTGAGGAAGGCATCTCCTCGCATCACCCTGTCACGGCGCAGGGTCAAAGGCCAGAAGAGCCCACCTAAGGAGAGGCCGCTGCACGAGCTAACCTGGGCCAGCAACCATGGTGACAGGAACCCGTGTCCCTGAGAACCTGAGGATGGGGGTACCCAGGGTCTGTCCTCACAGCCAGGATGCAGCGGAGAGGCACAGGGTTAAGCTCAACCAGCCCATTTCACCAGGAGGAGAGACTGAGGCCCCGAGCACAAAGGGGCAGGCTCCGCCCCTGGGACATTAGGAGCTTAAAGCTGCGGGCTCTGGAGCCGGGCAGCCCCAGGTCCCCGGCCCTGCCCTGCCCCTGACAGCTGTGCGGCCACAGGAAGCCCCTCTACTCCCCGTGTCCCAGCCTCCTCAGCCCTCAGATGAGGAGGGTGCCAGCTGCCAGCACCTGCCTCCCCGCGGGGCAGCCGCGAATTAATTAGTGAAGGCTCTGCAAAGCGCTCTGAGGCCGGGAGGGCCCAGCAGGGCTGAGCAGCCCCATTATAAATATTATGGTTTTATTTATAGACAGCGGAGGGGGTAGGAGGGGGCCTGGGGAGGTATGTTTTGCCAGCTCAATCACCTTTTAGATGTAGTCATGTTTGACTTACGTTCTGCTGGCGCCGGAAAACCTCCGGCGGGAGGCGTCTGCAAAGACGGGGCCTTGTTATGCTCCCAGCAGAGCTGGAGTGGGTCAGCCTGGGAGGGCGGGGAGGCCGCAAGCCCCTGCGCTGGGGAGCCCAAAGGCCCAAGGAGCACAGCCGACCCTCCCCACGCAGCCACGCCAGGCCCAGAGGGGGACTCAACGGCCAGCGTGACCGGGGTGCCCACCATCAGGAGCCATGCAGACGCACGGGGAGCAACAGCCTGGCCCTGCTCCTCCTCTGCTTTGGGCACTGCCAGCCAGCTGGGCCCTTGCTCTGTCCCTTGCATGGTCCCTGGGGCAGGCAGGGCTGAATTTCACCAAAAGGCTCTGGTTCAGCCCCCTCTTCTTAAGGCCCAACCAACTGAGACCCAGAGAGGGGGCATCCGGCCAGAGGTCACACAGCAAGTGAGGTCCCTCCAGGTCAGAGGACATGTCCCTCCTTCCCTCAAGGGACTTAATCCAGGACAAGGAGTCTTCACAAGAGACTGACCACATACATGCACACATGCACACCCACTTGCACCCATGCACATGTGTGGCCACCGCTCTCTAAACCTACCACCAGCCAGACACACTGCTGCCACCTGCCACACCGCCCCCACAGGCCAGGGGGAGAAACCTTGCTGATGCCCCCACTGGACACATGAGGGGACAGGCTTGGAGAGTGAGTCACTTGCCCAACTGGGGCCAGGTCTCCCTCATTAGACTGCGAGCCTGAGTGTGGGGCCTGCTCCCCCCAGACCACAAGCACCAGGAGACTCCCCAGGGCCTGCCACCACCCACTCCGACAGGCAGGCTGTGGCTCAGCCGGGCAGAAGGCCGGACCTGCGGTATTTCCCACCAGGGCCTCGGCCCCCACCTCCCCGGAATGTTGCCGAACGAGTCCCAGATGGCTGCCTGTGTGTGCAGGCCCCTGCCATTGCCCAACAGAGATGCTATCAGCCTGCGGCATCCCTCATTAGCCAGGGCAGAGGTGGGGCCCCCCAGCCCCCAGCAGGGTGGGCCCCGCCTGGTGCCAACCTTGAGCACCTCCCAGCAGTGTGCGGGGCAACACTGCCTGGGTCCGAACCTCGGCTTCTTCACCTCTTACAGGGAGCTCGCCAGCCTTGCTGAGGGGTCAAGCAGCATCAAGGCCAGTCAGCACAGCTGCTCACTGCAGGCACTTCAGGGGGCTCAGGACGGGGCTGGAAGCCGACAGCTCACGTCCCACATCTCTCCTGGCTAAGGCTGGGGTGGCACACCTGGCCCAGTTCCCCAGCCAGCCGTCCCGACACATGCAGACAACAGCCCTGCCATTGCCAGGGAGCCCTCCTTGCAGCACTTTGCCCACCCAGGACAGCAGGGAGAGAGCTGCACTTCAGGGCTGGTTCCAGGGGGCCTGGGGGCAGTGCCAGCACCAGGGGCAGGCTGCCGCAGGGGGGCGGTGCCCCATCCCTCTGGGACACTTGTCCTGGGAGACATGGAGCTCTCTGCACGGCCAGCACCAAGGCTGCACCGGGGTCCCCACTCACTCCTCCCAGGAGTGAGGCTGCGGACGGGGCCCTGCAGGTGCCAGGGAACAACACAACAGGCTGCCACCTCATCAGTCCACACGCAGAGGCGCTGCCCTCCGTACCCCGCTTGGCAGGAGGCCTCAGCCCGCTCTACTACCACTCTCAAGGCTCTTGGGCTGCACAGAACCGCCATCCACAGCCAGTGCGGCTCTCTTATATTGTGTTTGGGGAACAAGAGAGCTTTGCAAGAAAGTTTTTACTGCATGTTCGTGACTTAAAAATCCAGTAAGAGGCAGAGGGGAGCTGGGTCCCAATAGGACCAGGTATCTATCCAACAACCCATAAGTGAGGTCATGAGGGCTGCACGCTGCCTGGGGAATGTGCCAGATGTGCACCCAGCCCTGGACCAGGCAAGCGATGCGGCCCAGGCCCTGTGCTGGCAAGCCCTCCCCAGGACCCCAGTCCTCTGCACCCCATTTCTCCGTCTGTGAGGTGTGGGAACAGAATCACAGCACCCGGTGGGTGAGTGAGCGTGGAGCTGGGGTGGGCAGCCCCGTGAGGGCCCGCACCCTGCAGGGGTTCATAACCAGACTGTAGCTGGAGGGTACCAGTGGAGGGGTCGGTCAGACCAGGCGACCCTGGGTCTCCCGAGCCCCTGCAGCTCCCCCAGAGTGAGATGGGACATCATCCTCTCCCCAGGCTCAGCAGTGGACAGACTGAGGGGGCCTTAGGAAGGGGTCAGTGTTTGCTGGACAGGCCCACAGGCCCTGGAGGGCCACTCCCTGGGGTTTGAAGGGCGTCCATGCCCAGCGGAGGCGCATCTGCTGACATCCTCAGCCTCTGCGCACGCTGTGCCCTCCGCTGGGCATGTGGTCTTCTTACACACCCTGCCATTCTTTGGGTACCAGCCTGGACACCTCCCACTCGCCCAAGCCTTGCCTGATGCCCACAGCTGGGTCAGGTGCCTCCTCTGGCTCCTAGTGTCCCAGGTCCCCTACGTTAGCACTGATCTGCTGGGGGGCTCTGCCTGGTTATCTGACAGTCACTTCAATGGTGGGGTGCCCCAGGTCCCCTACGTTAGCACTGATCGGACCTGGGGGGCTCTGCCTGGTTATCCGACAGTCACTTCAATGGTGGGGCGCCCCAACTCACAGCTGTGCCCAGCGTGCCACGTGGTGCCTGGCACTGGGAGCATGGAGTTCGGTGAGTGAGTGACCTTGGGTGCTAATCCAAGCTCACTTGTTCTGTGCTATGGTGTCCTCGAGGGAGCCTTGAGCCTCAAGCTGCGTGTCGTGCCCACCTCCCCCCAACACACTGGCACCTGGGCACACACCAATCTACTGCCAGTGCACACTCCCCAACGGCCCACTGTCCAGCCCTTGGGCACAATGCTGCACTCCCAACCTCCAGCAAGCCCTCCCTGACTACAGGGAGCCCAGAGGAACCAGGGCCAGGTGCCCGCCCCCCTGGCAGCCACACACCACCTCCTCTGCCTCGTTGCTGGCCTACAGGAATGACGTCTGCACTGGGAGCCAAAGGCCTGGATTCCAGCCCAGCGTGGGACCCTGGATAAGTCCTGGGCCCTCTCGAGCCTGTTTCTCCACCAGCACAAGAGAGTATGCCAAGCACATATGAAACATGAGCCCCGGTCAAGAAGGCCTAGCGAGCAGACGCTCCAGATGCCCAGGCCGGCCGCTGCAGTTCAGCACTGGAGCCTTGGGGCCATGCTCTGTGGGGTCCGTGGACCCACTGCCCCTCACAGGGAGGCTGGGCTGCATCCACCCCTGCGGCCTCAAGGAGGAATCCCGCACGACCACGTGGCCTGGCTGGGGCTCTGGTTTCTGGGGCTGAGGAGGCCAAAAAAAAAAAGCATGAAGCAAGAGGCACGCTGCAGCCACGGTGGGAGGACAGTCCTCAGCCCTGGGGCACCAGCCCCGGAACCCCACCAGGAGCCTGTGGGAAGGAGGTAGACAAACACAAGCCACACGTGGGCCACAGAGGCAGCCACAGCAGAGAAGGGAACAGCACGCAGACACCAGCCCCAGGCGGCCCCGGGCACGAGACTCCCAGCGTGGATGCAGACCACAAAGCAGAACCTGCCCGGGGTGCAGGAGTCACTGAGCCTGCAGATGGGGAAACTGAGGCCCCGAGCATGGTTGGACAGCTTCTATGACCTCAGGGAGTGACCCTGGATGCTACCTACCCCACCACCCAGCCCTGAACAAATGTGCTCAGTAAACTGGGCTCCCATATCTAAGGCCCGTGACCTGAGTCCTGCTGCTCTGAGGACCCAAGCATGCCAAGCGCCTGGGGTTGGCAGGAGGAAGAGGAGCCCAGGATGACCCCAACATGCAGCAGGCTAGGGATGGGGACGTCCTAGTGGTCTCTGGCGTTCCCTGACCCCACCATCCCTAGTCAGCGCTGCCCCTGCTCACTGGACAGCTGGGACATCGCCCCTGGACCCGCTGTCCCGGGTTCCACCCACGCCAGTCTGGCTTCACTGTATGCCCACCGCCCTCTCCAGCCTCAGCCCTCCGTGTGCTTCTGCCTCCACCCGTCTCCCACAGCCCGTGCGCCTAGAGTGTGACCTACACCTGTGCTCAAAGGGGCCGGAAGGTGCCAGCGAGGAAGGACCAAGGTGACCTCTCCTGTCACCCCAAAACTGGCATCCAGGTGCTCAGTTAAGGGTAGGCGAGTGAGAACAATGCCTGATGGAGGCCAGTGGGAGACTGGTGGCCAAGACCAGCACCTCCAGGGATGCACGGCTCCCCGCGCAGCCTCCACCTCTGGCAGCAGCCAGAGGAGCGTGAAGCCAGCGTCCGCCAGAGGGCCGGCCGCTTGGGGACAGTGGGCGTCCCTGCAGGGGGCCTACCTTCCCGCTTCATGCCCATGGCCAGGCACTTCTGGTAGCGGCAGTACTGGCACCGGTTCCGCTGCCGCTTGTCGATCAGACAGTCCTTGTTGTCCCGGCAGGTATAGGTCAGGTCCTTGCGCACTGTCCGCTTGAAGAAGCCCTTACAGCCCTCACAGCTGTACACCCCGTAGTGCTTGCCTGTGGGCGGGCACAGCAGGGCATGAGCGAGCGGCTGCGCCCGCCGCCCATCACCAGCCACCTGGAGGGCCATCCGTCCTTGTCCACAGACTCCTGTCTCCAGACCCTGGCCTTCCGCTTGGGAAGGAGCGGGCCTGGGGGTACAGAAGGTGAGGCCCAGGCCCCCGCCAAGTCCCCGTCCTGTCCGTGTCTGCCCTGGCGGCCCCGGGACAGTAGAGCGGCCTTCCACTGGGGCCGTCGGGCTCGGTGCTATGATGCCAGGGGTCCCTGGCCCAGGGCACAGAGCAGGGAGGGGCCCAGCACGCTGCCCCCCGGCTGTCGCCTCCTCTCTAGCAGCCTACCTGCTCACCATGGCCTCCCCGCCTACTGTCTCCCTGACATAAACACACTCACACGCCCCACATGAAAGGCCCTCGGGGCTCCGAGCCCCCTTTGTCGGCCTGGCTCCGCCCCGCCGTGGGCCCTGCGGTCGTGCTGCACCCTCGCAGCCTACCTGAGGAACGGTCCCCGCAGATGGCACAAATGTGCTTGGTGAAGGACGCCATGTTCCCTGAGGGGTGGGCCGGGACTTTGAGGACACCGTTGAGGCCCAGAGGGGGCTTGATGTCCTCGCTGCTGCTCACAGGGTTCATGGGCGAGTTGAGCTAAGGAGGAAACGCCACAATCAGCTCTGGCAGGCCATTGCTGGGTGCCCGGGCGCGTGCCAGCGTCCCCAGCAGCCCTGGGAGAGGATGGTGCTGCACCCCCACTGTACAGAGAGAGAAACTGAGGCTCAGGGACCTGCCCACCCCTGGCCACGCAGCATGGGAATGGCCGGGCCGGGCCCCTCTGAGTGTTGGCTGGATGCTGGCGCTGCCCTCAGGCTACTGCCCTCCCGGGGCTGACCCCACAAGGCCCCCGCCCACACGCGGCCCCTCACCCACCTAAATGACAGCTGCCCCCCATTCCTGGGAGCTCCCTCGACAGAGGCATTAGTTCTGTGACCCTCCCAGGGAGGCAGGCACTTTGGGAACCCTGGCCCACGGATGGGGTCTGAGGCCTGGTCATAGTGGGGAGGGTCCACCCCAGCAGGTCACACTGCCCGGCAGGCCTCACAGGGCGGGGGCTCCAATCACGTGACTGGGAGGGAGGTGGCACGTCCCTGTCCACACACCCCTGCCCCGCCCTCAGCCGCCTCGGCCTCCAGGAGGAAGCGTGGGAAACTCGCCGGTCACCCCGGCAACAGCGCCACGCCACAGTGACACAGCAGTTTTGGTTCCGCTGCTTCCACCCCAGTTCTCAAGTCAGCACCAAGGGCCCAGAGGTGCTTCCTGCTGCACGCCGCGAGCCAGCCTGTCTCCACAGGCGGCAGCACCCCACCACCCCCACTTCTGCAAACCCCTGACGGGTGGAACCGGGCCCTGCAGATGGGGCTGGGGGTGGGCGGCCGGCAGCCCCGGCCCCTCCACGTGCTCCCTCCACCACCCCGGCCTCCGCTCCCATCCCCCTTTCCCATGGGGCAGAGGAAGAGCCTGGTGCTCAAAGTGCACGCCGCCCTGATTTCCCACCACTCAGCGCCCAGAGTCACGCCTCCAGCCCCGGCTGGGTCCCACCCTTCCTCCCCCAGGTAGGCAGGGGGTTCCGTGAGGACGCCTGACCCCATGGGACTCAGGCGGGCTGCAGGGGCGCCGGGGGCTCCATCCAACCACTTAGCTCAGGACACAGGAACAAGGGGCGTGAGAGGCATGGGGTCCAGGGCACCCCGCTGCAAAACAGGGCAGGGGGCTCTGGCCAAGAAGGCGCTGCGGGTCTGCTGAGCGCTGCTGTGCCAGCTCCTCTGAGCTGAACACCCCCCGGGGAGGCCGGCGGCTCAGCGGGGTCGGGACGCTGGCGGAGGGCTGCAGCTGCTAAGTGGCAGCACAGCGTTTGAGCTCAGAACTCTCAGCGTCAGCTGGCGGAGAGACCGAGGGGAGCCCCACACACTGCAGGGGGGAAACTGAGGCCCAGAGCCACTTGGTGCCCCCCCACCACACACTGTTCACAGGCACCCAGCCAGGGCCCGAGGCCCCGGAGAACACAGCCCTGCTGCAGCAGTGTTTGCTGGCCGGGTGGGGATGGGGCAAGAAGGGGAAGCGGGCCAGCCCTCCAGGCCCCGGGAAGCTGCCGTCACTCGCTGTGTGACTCTGGAAGGTCATTTAGCCACTCTGAGCTCGAGGTTCCTCACATGCAGGACTGAAATAACACGGCTGCCTGTGTGGGGCCGACATCAGGGCACCCAAGCCAAGTCACAGCCACAGCAGTGTGGTGGTGGGGCTACTGAATCCAGCTCGGGGCAGAACAAACCGGCTGCCTTAGCATTTGGGCCTCCAGAAGGGGAGGCTGCCGGCCAGGCCTCGGGCAGTGGAAGGGAGCAACCCAGGCAGAGGGGGCCGCCAGCATCTGGAGCTGGGGAACCCAAGGGACTGTTTGGAAAGGGCGAGAACTCAGTGCAGCCAGGGGTGGGGGACAGCAACAGGGGCCAAAGGCACTGGGGGCAGCCACTGAGGACGTGAGTGGAGGCCCAGGGTGGAGGCTGGCATGAAGCCTCCCCAGGCTGCAGTCTTCCCCACAAGGGGAGCCCAGCCACATGTGGCTGGGTCTGGGGAGGCACCAAGGAGAGGAACTCAGGCATTTCCTCTTTCTGCGGCTGCCCAGACCATGCTGGGGGCGCAGGGGGCCACCTGCTCTGTGTCCCGGCCCCCATGTGCAGGCTCTCAGGACTGGTGTCTACCCTAAGTAAACTGAGGCAGGGCCATGACAACAGGGAAGGCTGGCCTGGGTCCCACCAGGGAAAAAGCTATAAGCAAGATGGTCAGAGCCAAGGCTAGGCTGGCTCCCAGGCCACAAGCCGGGGGTGTCCCCTCCCTCCCAGGCTCAGGCTTCCCATGGGCACAGCTGTCGGCCAGAGGCTCTGGGATCATGGGGAGACCCTGCCCGTGTGGGGGATGAAGGCAGGGCTGGAGGCCCCACCCTCCCATGCCATGGGACCTCCTGCTTTGCTTCTCTGCCTCAACTGGGAAGCCATCCCCACATGGCCACCAGGACCAGGTTCTGCCCCTTCACAGTGCCAGGCTGACCAGCCCTGGGCCGGGTTCACAGCCTCCAGAATAGAGCACAAGGCAGTCCCTCATCTCTCCTCTGGCGCTCTACCTCATCTCCTAGGAGACCCAGGGTGCCAGGAGCCCCTTGCTGAAGCCTTAAGACCCCATGGCACAGCCAGGGCGGAGGCCCTGCACTGTTTCCCTTTTCACATCCACGGCATTTTTTCCGGTTCCAGGACTTACTACAATGACCATGCACCTCAACACCCTGCGGGGATCTCCTGCCCATTTCTCGGTGCTCTGTTCCTCTAGCCACGCCCACACACCCTTCCACCCACGCGCACAGCAACGCCTCCCGCAGTCCGCTCAGCCAGAACTGGGTGGGGGCACCGGGAACAGGCAGGCCCTTGGCGTCACTGGCTTCCATCTCCCGATCAAGGCAGGTGGCAAACCACGTGGCGTGCACCGAAGCTCGGGCAGTGCCGGCCGCCCCACAGGTCTGGGCAGGACCCACACTGGGGAGGCTTTGCTGGGCTGGCGAGGCCTGGATGCTGAGGTGAAGCACCGCAGGTGTACTGGCAGAGCCCCCGGACAAGGAGAGACATGGGGTGGCTCACGCACCAGAGCCCATGGCCTGGCCTGGCTCTGCCCAGACCTCCCCAGGCACCTGTTTCCCTGCCAGGTGGGGTCCAGTGGGGTGGACTCAGGGATTCTGACACCCTTTGTGGACATGGACTCGAGCAAGCAGCACCCGGCAGAGGCCCCTCCCTGACAACAGCAGAAGTCGGAGAACCGCGCTGGTTCCGGCAACTCTGACTTCGCGGTTGCGGTTTCGGGGCCGGGGATGGGGCCAAGCCCCCCTCCCCCGAACTCCACCCACACTCCCATGTATAGAGGAAACCCTACGTTTCCTAGACATGCTGAAGCCCAGAAGCTGAAGTCAGCTCCCAGGGAACAAGCCACAGCAGGAAGAGGTGGAGGTGGGGGTAAGGGGGACCGAGGCCGAGCGCAGGGCTCAGACCGTGGCAGAACCAGCTGCGGCCCGGTGGCCCGCCGCACAGGGGCAGCAGGACAGTGAGGAACACCGGGCCCCCCGGGTGCTCGCCCACATCCAACCCTCACCAGACGACAGGGGCCTCGGGCCCCTGGCTCACAAGCAAACCGGCGTCACCAAGCACCCACTCCACGCCATGAGCCTCGCTGTGCACAGAGAACAGCAGCACAGGATGCAGGTGGCCTGAAAACACCCCACTCCCCAGCAGCGCCCCACCCCTGCCCCACATGGGCTAACAGTGCCAAGTTTGGGGGCCCTCAGGTGGGCACCCTAGGGCCCAGCCTCTGCACAGCCCCCACTGTAGATTCACATGCCCAGGCTCCGGCCTCATATAAGCCCTCGCAGTGCCCAGGGCAGGCAGCAGCCCTGTGACGAGCAAGGAGCCTCAAGGAGCTCGAGGGGACAGGTGTGGGCCCAACCTTCGTCTGCCACTTCGCTGTATGGCACTGTGCAGCCTGCAAGAATGGGGGTGGGGCAGCAATGCTAAAAATAGCACACCCAGGCCCAGGAAGACAGCCGAGGCTCCCTCATGCCAGCCCCTCAGCCTCTGTGGCTTCTGAAAGGCCAGGAGACATGAGTGGGGCACAGGAGTCCTGCAGTGACAGCCAAGACCCAGCCATTCTGCACGCATTCCCCAGGTGTAAAGAGGCTGACAAGGTTGCCCCAGAAAAGCCAGCAAGATTCTCATCCAAGGCAGCTCTGGACAGGCCCAGCCAGACCTTTATGGGGCCCCATTTTTCCTGGACCAAGGACAAGGGGACTGTTCTGGAGGTGGCATGGCACCAGGGGCAACAAACAGGGCTTGGGAGTCAACAGGACACAGACGACACAATTAGCTGTGTGGCTCTGGGCAAGGGGAGCCCACACGTTGAGTCCCCCCCACAGGCTGCCCTGAGGCCCCACAGAGATGGCGCACCAAAGCTCTCCACCACGGGCCTTCATCTGCCAGGAGGAATAGCTGAACCCAGACCAGGACACTCAGATCAAGAAGGGCACCTACCTGCTTCAGGAAGGACAGCTCAAGCCCCAGACAGGGCGAGGACCTGCTGGGATGCAGGAAGGTCTCTGGCCATCCAGCAAGTAATCTGCCAGAAGCCCCCAAGGCTGGGAGAAGGGTCGCCCAGGCACTCAGGATAATTCTGCATGGGCTTGGACAAGAAGCATCCAGGGAGGGTGGACCAGGCCTCTGGGGGCCCCAGAGCAAGAACCAGACCAAGCCAGGTCCTGCCAGCCACCAACTATGTACTGACCCAGAAAGAAACCCCAAGCCCAAATGATGCAGAGAAGTAGGCAAGGAAACACACAGATGCGGAAAAGGCCATCACACGCAGAGGAGCCCAGGCCACAGTGGGACCTGAGGCCTGGCAGCCCCGAGAAGGGAGGCATCTGCGGAGCCTGCGCACCCCTCCCCTGCAGGGTCTGGGCTCAGAGGGCACTGCAACCACCTGGCACAGCGAGAGGAGGGCAGCGGGGCCCAGCAGGAAGGGCAGTCGCGAGGACTCGGGGCTCCAGGGAGGTGGGGTGAAATCCGAGGGGCTCGGAGTCCCCACCCTACAGAGCTCTGGGTCATGGGAGCAAGGAGCCCCTCTCACGGGAGGGAACCACACTGGGGTAAGGACCCACCAGAGCCTGGCTGATGACCTCTGAGGGGCAAGGGCTCAGAAGTCAGCCAGACCTGATCTCTAAGTCCGGTTAAGTCCACCCCTCTGAGGCTGTTTCCTGGAGACCAGGGAGGTGACCACACCAGCCCCTGGGCCACAGGATAAGGCAGATAGATGCCAGGAGAGTGGAGAGCTAGGCCCCGCCCCACCCTCTCCAGCCAGGCCCCGCCCCCTCCGGCCCAGGGCCGCCACTGCACTTACCTGGGGGCTGCCTGCGCCGAAGCCCAGGGTGGGTGTGGTGGGCACCGACATAGAGTGAGGGCCCATGGGGGAGCTGATGACCGAGAAGGGCGGGCCCATGCCGTTGATGGGGGAGCTCAGGGTGCTGATGGGCGAGTGCAGCTGCCCTGGGGAGCCCAGCGAGGAGCCGAGGCTGGGCCCCAGGGAGGGGTGCAGCGAGGGGGCAGCCATGGAGCCACGCCCTGGCGGCGAGTTCAGGGACGAGGAGTTCACCTGGGTGGAGAAGTCTGCAAGACAAGAACCCACAGGAGGACGGTCAGGAATTCTCACCACCTGGTCCCAGAGGCCACACTGAAGCCACAGAGGGCAAAGATGCCCAGGGCAAGGCCCCAGGCACCCCCATGGCAGCCCTGCTGGCTCCTGATGCAAACCCGCCAGCACAAGCCAGGCCAGCCAGGGGTGCCTGGAGCTGTCCCCCAAGGCAGCTCCCCAGCCTGGCCTGGCCGTTCTCAGGCCCAGGCTGGGTCCGTGGCAGGTGCCGGACTAGCAGGCCAGCAGAGGCCCTCAGGAGCTGAGATGCCTATCTGTGCAGGAGGCCTACCGCACTCAAAGCCCCAACGCCCCAGGCCTGGCCACCTGAATGCCTGGTCACCAGGAGTCACCAGCCCCTCTGCCATCTACTTGGGTCAAAGGGAAGGTCTGAGAATTATAAAAATAATGAAGGCTGACGTTTCAGAGCAACCACTACCCAGCAGAAGTCAGTCCACGTTCTCCACGAGGGAAGTTAGGTATTTGGCAGATACTGTTATTACTCCATTTTAGAGGCCCTGAGGTCTCACAGCTGCCTAGGGCAGGGTGGGAACAGGCCTGGGAGGCTGACCCACTCCAAAGTCTGGCCTTAACCAACAGGCCACACTGCCTGGGCCTGCTCAGGAGACCTCAGCCCCCTGACTTCCCGCACACTTCCCGTGTGCCCAGGCCTGGTGGGCAGTGTGCAGCCCTGTGGGCGATGAGCTTCCGGGAGGCCCTTGGGCTGGAGGCCCTGGCGTGTGCCAGGCATGGAGACAGGCAGCCCACAGAGGCTGGGACCTCCCACACCGGGGCCTTTCATCTCAGGGATTTCAAAGCCCCAACAGACACTAATCAGGCCTCCTGCCCGACCCTGAGGGCTCAGCAGGAAGGAGACTTCCCAGGATCTCAGGGGGTGAATCCAGGGCCCAGGGCCCTGAGGCAGCAGGGGCCTGAGCCACAGGAGGTAGTGAGCTCTGCCTCCCTGACTCTCTGGGCCTCAGCCTTCCATCTGCAAAACGGTCTCACTGGCCCTTGTGCCCTGGCCTGCAGCGGCCGTGCATGTTTCTGAGGAGTCGAGCAGAACCACAGGTGCCACGGGGTGGCCTCCGTCCACGTGCACCCAAGGCCAGGGCTCACACCATGGCTGCACCACTCAACGGCCCTGTGCTCGGCGCTCCCCGTGTGAATGAATGAGTGTGGGGGGACACACATCATGCTGAGGACACTGCCAGCGAATGGCAGGACTTGAGCAGACCCAGAGCCCACACGCTCCTATCCAGGGCCCCGTGGCCTTGTCCAGTCCGCGGGGCTGGGTGTTCCCAGCAGGGACACGGGGGCTCTGCCACCCCCACAGACCCCCCTCAGGGACATGCCCCTGTTTCCAGCAGGAGCCTCCTCCCTCACTTTCCCTCTGCAGGAGGAGGCGTGCAAGAAGCAGACCTGAGTTCCACAGTCAAGCCCGGGGTGGTGGGCCTGCCTGCCCCTGCTCCCTCTCGGACTTCCCAGGCAAATGAGCCTCATCTGATACATTGGAAATGCAAGCCACTCACAAAACTGCAAATAAATCATTTCACTGAGCTTGAAAACAAAAACTGAAGAACTGATGGCAGCAGCACCTACTGGCGAAAATGGGTATTGCAAGTCAGCCCTGTTAGTCCTGCACCCCACCCCCAAGCCAACCTCTGCAGAAGGCCACTGGTGGGCAACTAGGGCTGATGAGAGAGGGCAGGCAGGGAAAGGTGCCCAGGAGCATTCACGAGGTCCGGCCGCATACCCCTGATCTCACTGGATCCTTATGACCCGGACCCCCGCCTGGCACCAACAAGGAAACTGAGGCAGAGAAGGTGAGAGCGTCGCCTAAAGGCACTATCCCAGAAATCTGCCCCTGCTCCAGGGCCACTGCTGGGACTCCTGCAATACCACAGGGCCGGCCCTCCCCACAAGCCCGCCTCCGCAGCCTCCCACCACCCCCTGGATGAGGAGCTCCAAGCAGCTTCCCCCGTCCAAGCCCCGTTCTCCCATCTCCTCAGAGAGAGGCACGCCCACTCGGGAAGATGCAGGCAGAGATCTGGGCTAGGCTGGCCCCTCTCCTCCCACGCAGCCCAGGGATGCAGCCGATGACTTCCAGGTGGAAAGGAGGGCCTTGCAGACACCTCCGCTGGAGGGCCAGCGTGGCTGCAGCTACCAGGAGGAGCTTAGGCCTCGCAGGGGCCCAACCTCGGTTGTGCATCCAGAATCCTGAGGGCTCAGCCACCCCCAGGGGCGGGGGGGTACCTCTGGAAACAAGGTGGGGATCTCAGGGCCAAGCGGCAGAAGTCATCCTCTGTTCTGGTAACTTCCCCACCTCCACGCACTGCCCAGATAGTCCTGGGGGACTGGAGGGCTCCGAATTAGGAGGGGACTGAGAGTGTCTCTTGGGGCTGCTCTCCTTAAGGGGTGGGGTGCAGCCAGCAGTGCCAGGAGGGCCCAGGGCTCTCCTGGCAGCCTCCGCTGCTGGCCGGCAGCAGCTCACAGCTGCAGCCACACGGCGTTGGGCCTCTGCTCCAAGCTGGGCCTGAGCTCCTGGGTTGTTTGCTGCCGTAGGCAGGGAGGGGAGGCAGCGGCAGGAGAAAGCTTGGCTGGAAGGAAGGAGGGAAAGAGGCAGCCTGTCTGACTGCCAGCCATTGGGTTGCACCCTAAACCCCCCCACCGGCCCCCTGTGGTACCGCCGGCACCCAGCCCATCTGAAAACCCTTGGGGGTAGCCAGAAAGATGGAGGAGAAAACCAGCAGGAGAGGAAACACAGAGGGCAAGTGGGCTCCAGGAGAAAGGGGGAGCAGCCCCGGGGTGCAGCCCACACCCCAAGTGTAAAGGGGGCCTGGTTCCTCAGGCAGGACGCCCATTCTCTGCACCCTGGACCTCGCCTACCCGGCCTAACAGTGTGGGGCCAAGTGCCAGCAATGGCTCCAAACCGGGCTGTGAGCCCCCCGGGGGATCCCGAGTCTGGGGTGGAGGAGCCACACCACCCCCATTGATGCCTGCCTCAGCACGACCCCCACTGCCCCCAGGCCCCCGCTGCGGGCGCTTCCTGTTTACACAGAACGTCCACAGCGGACACTTTCCCGGAGCCTGGGTGACAATGGGCTGGGTGTGTTTTCTGGAGTCTTCTGGAAAAAGACACTTTCTGGCCAGGAAGGGAATGTTAGAAAGAAAAGGCAAAGAAATGCCTAAACATCCTCTGCTCTCAGAGGGGCCCTGCCACCCGCCCTCCACATGCGCGCAGGCCCTGCCTCTTCCAGGCCAGTATCTGTCCCCACCCACTGATAAGCAAGGCTGTGATAAGGCCTTATTCTTCAGAAGTCATACTTTGGACTTGCAGGGGCCTTGCCACCAGCTGGCCACCACACACTTATCTGACACTCAGTGGTGCGGGGGGCGCTGGGGGCCAGGGCTGCAGGAGGCCAGGATCGGACGCCCCAGACCCAACCTGGGAACCAGCTGACACCCAGCCCTCCCCACCCAGGGGGTGCAGAGGGGCCGCTGAGGGAGCAGTGAAACCCAATCCCCGAATCTCACACCCTCAGAACCTGGGCCTCACCAGCCCCAAGCCCAGCACCTCACACCCCTGGCACCCTCTACACCCACTTCAGGACCATCAGCCGTCAGTGCAATTCAGGACTCTGGGGAAAGGGGCCACGGCCCAGGAGTTCACAGGAGCTCACAGGGAACTTTGGCAAGAGAGGCCCATCCAGGCAGAGTGGATGCGTGGCAGCCCCAACGTGGGTGAACAGACCTCAAAGGGCTCCCAGTTTCATTCCGGGAAGGCTGCATGGGAGAGGTGGTGGACCAACCTCTCACTTGGCTCAAAGAGCATTTCAGGCCACTGAAAGTAACTCGAAATGCAAATACCTGGAAGCCAGAATGGAAACCAAGGAACAGAAAAGGAATGCTCTGGAATGTTCAGTGCCCAGAGCAGGTACAGAGTAGCTCCCTGGGCCCCGGAGCATGAAGGTAAAGAGTCACATCTAGTAAAGTTAAAATAAAGAATGTCATGGTGACTGACAGCTCGCAGGCTGCTTGAGGGGGTGAGTTCCCTGTCACAGCTACATGTGAGCAGAAACTGCAACCACCAGTCAGAACGACCAAGCAGTGGTCCCTGATGTCCCTCTGAGAGGGCGAAGGGACACCCCCACCACTGATCAAAATTCCTGAACTGCGTGGGCTCCCTCCAGAGCCCTCCTGCCCCTGGACCCCACAGCAGGAAGCTGGGGAACCCCCACCAACTCCCTTCCGGAGGCCTCTGCCTGCCAGGCGGTGGAAGTGGGGGAGGCAGCAGGAAATGCCAGTCCTGCTGCACCAGGGGCATGCACCCCTTCTAGGCAGCCAGGGAACCCCCAACTCTTGCAAAGGGGAGCTCAGGGCTCCTCCACAGTCTTTCTCAATTTGCAGGACCAGGCTGGGGCCACACGTCCAGCGGGAAAGAAGAGGACACGGGACGCGGGGCTCAGCCCCCCAGCAGAAAGCCCCTCGGGGAGGGACAGGTGTTCCGACCAGAGGAGCACGGGGAGGATCCCAGGGGGCTGGGGTGGGCCAGGGGATCCCAGGAGGGCCATGGAGGCCCACCCAAAAACCAGAAAGGAGGTGCTGGCAGGGGCACAAAGGGGTGAAGAAGTGCCCTGCAGGAACAGGACTGGGTCGGAGCCCAAGCATCTGCCCCCAGCCCTGCAGCTCTGCCCCTGCCTGGGGAACCCCCCGGAACCAAAACCTTGCAGCAGGGAGCCAGCAGCCCCCAGGAGCTTCCTGGGACGCCTACCTCAAGGCCCTACCTTCCAAAAGACTGCTTCCCCTGCAGCGCGGGGGAGGGAGAGGTGGCAGCCTGGCGGAGACTGTGGTGGGGACCACGGTGCGCCAGGGTTTGGGGGTGGCTGAGGGTGGTTGCAGCAAGAGGGGGAGGTGGGAAGCTCTGCTGGCCCCACGGGGTGAAGGGCTTCCAGCAACTGGGGCAGGAGGGCACCAC